GCGGACCTCTGGAGTCTGAACGCATTCTATCATGAATGAATTTAACCAGGTGCCGCCAGGTCCGTGCTACATCCACATAAGGCGGGCCGGTTAACCGGCACACCTTGCTCATGGACTGGTGCTTTTCAACTCTCCAAAACAAACTCTCTCCTGTAATTAAGGGTTCGGAGCGCACCACGCTGGGCCCAGTTCCCAGCATGTGCTGTTTCCCCAACCCAGTGATGGATCTCAGTCAGGGGACGCTGGACCCATTTTCCAGCAGGTGGGGGCTCCCCACCGATAGATTGGAGCCCCTGCAAGACACACACACAAACACAAAAAAAACAAAGGGTATCTGCTTTCCTCCCCGAAAAAAAAAGAAAAAAAGAAAAAACGGTTCAGAGCTAGCATGAATATTGCCTGTTTTCACCACCAGGTTCATGTTCTCTAAGCACAAACAGAACATCACCACCAGGTTGGTGTTCTCTAAGCACAAACATAACACCAGTGAAGTCTTTCTCTATGGGCCAGGCCTCACTGGAGTATGTCTCGGGGCCATGCCCCACTTGTCGAGGTTTAGTTCTGGTTTCAAGTATGCAGGGCTCCCTGCCATCCCATCTGATAATTCCACGGCCACGGTGTGACCACGTTGAAAAATACACGAAACATAAACTAAAACCCCGCTAGTGGGACATGGCCCTCGCTTCGTGCCTTGCCACGTCAGGTCTGGCATCCCACGGTCTTGTAGGGGAATTCAAACGAGTCAATGTATAACACTACTCCCCTCCCCCCTCCCCCCTCCTCCCCCTGAAAACAACTTACGTCAACAAACTACCAGGACAACAACTTCCACCTCTTCTACACACTCCTCACACACAACTCCCTTCAACAAACCAGGAAAACAAATTCCACACCTTCTCCCAACTTGTCGCACACAACTCCGGTCTCCACTTCATCCTCTCAACTAATTGACTCCACACAGTGTCACACACTTCTGCCTCTGAGTCACACATAAACCTTGTCATCCCACTATGCTACTGTGCTCTTTTCCACGTCATGGTGTTGGAACTATTCCCTGATTCCCTCTCTCTCTCACCCCATAACGTTCACAGTCCTTCCTGCCCCACCCATTCCCAGCCACCACATCGTCAACCCATTTGGATAGGCAGCTCATGGGGCATCTTTGACATTGCCTGTGTCCCTAACAGTGATCCTTGTCACCCCACTTAGGGCGTCGTTAGACACTCCTCTGGGCATCCTCGGGCTCCGAGGATGAGTCCTCGGAAAAGTTTAGGGTTTTTGTCGTCTTCGTTACACTCATCCTCGGAGCATCGGTTTTAGGACTCATACTCGGAGCAATGTCAGAAAAATAAAAGGAAAAAAAAAAGAAAAAAAAGTTGTGCTTCAGGCTTTCAGCCAATAGGGTGCCGCCACGATCCGAATTCTCGGTTGTCACGTCTCTCTACGTGAATGCCCTCTCCTCTCCGTGAAACACGGATCCTCGGGCCCCAAAGGACAAAGGACCTCGCGAGGTCCTTTGGAGCCGAGGACAATTTGGCTGGGAAATCCTCAGAGCCCAAGGATGTGTCCTCGGAGTGTTTTCACATTTTCATTTCCAATTTCATCTCTGAGGACAGGTGGAACAAAGACGAAATCCTTGGAATCACGTCCCTGAGGAGTGTCTAACGACGCCCTTAGTATCTCTCACACGCCGGGCACACGCCAGGCATGCTCGACGCCCGTACATACCCTCCAGTCCCACAACTAACCAATCCACACAGTCTTGCAGAATGTGTGTTTGCGCAATGTGTGTGTGTGTATGTGTGTGCGTGTGTGTGTGTGTGTGTGTGTGTGTGTGTGAGAGAGAGAGAGAGAGAGAGAGGGGGGGGGGGGGG